TTAACACATTCGGAATCTGAAAATGGTTTTGATAAAATCCCGTCGAAAATGTAAGCTTGACCGGATAACCCATTTCACTGAGATCCTTCCTTGAACTTTTTAAGATAGCCGAAGCGCACACACGTCGTTATTGTTTTTTTTTTAGATAAAATTCAATTTCGTATAAATGAATAGAAATTGCATTTGATTGAAAACATCCAGATTCTAGGGCATGTCAGAGAAAGTATTGCCATTGTGATTCTTTCCGCAGATACTGCAAATGCACAACCCGTCGTCACTCCGCTTTCGCCGAATGGCCTTCGACCTATTTTTTTGTTGAATAGTATACTATAATAGTATATGTCACTAGTCAATATGCCCAATATAAGATCATTTTGGAGTAAAGAACTTAGATTTTCACATATAGCTGATGTCATGCCCGTAAATAAATTCGAAAAAATTAGACAACACATACATTTTAATAATAATGAAACGTTTATACCTCGTGATCAACCAGGACATGAGAAACTTCATAAAGTAAGGCCACTAGTTACCCATTTGAACGACAAGTTTTTATCAGTAACTCTAGAGCAGCATCTCAGTATTGACGAGCAAATGTGTTCTACCAAGATGAAGCAATATATGCCAATAAAACCACATAAGTGGGGTTTCAAATTCTTTGTTTTGGCAGGTGTATCAGGATTTGCTTATAAGTTTGAAATTTATACCGGCCAAGAAAAATTTGAAAAATTAGTAGATGGTGAACCCAACCTTGGAGTCACTTCTAGTATAGATTAGCTAGGACTATACCACGAACTAAGAATTATAGGCTATACCACGATAATTTCTACACAGCTGTGCCGCTAATGGTTGATCTTGCCAAAGAGGGCATATATTCTTTAGGTACAATACGAAGAAATAGATTGCCAAACTGCAAATTACCTACGGAAGCTTCACTTAAAAAGTCCCCTCGCGGAATTAGTTATGAATATGTGGCAACAATCGATGGAGTGGATATATCGTCAATTATTTGGATAACAAATATGTTACCCTTATTTCATCATTTGTTGGTAAAAATCCGATTTCAAAAGTCAAAAGATTTGACCGAAAAGAAAAGAAGAGCATTGAAGTTGACTGCCCTAACATAATTTTGGAATACAACAGGCACATGGGGGGAGTGGATTTATTAGACAGTTTAATGGGAAGATATAAGATATATATAAAAAGTAGAAAATGGTACATACAAATATTTTATCACCTCATTGACATGGCGTTGGTAAATAGTTGGCTACTTTACAAACGAGTAGCATCTGAAAAGGGACAGAACGGTAAAATAACACTGTGCGACAATTTTCGGGTCATCGAAATCAAACCGCACCGGACCATTTTTTTCTGAAAATATACCTATCCAATGGCAAAACCCTCGCTGGGTTTGTAAAAGTTAGCTCGAATTTTTTTTTTATGGCCGTTTGTATTTTCGAGCTTTATATACCCCAATTTAGACCTATAAATCGATTTTTTCGCATATATTCGACTTATATCGTCAATATTTTTTGTAGAAATGTAGATACTGCACAAATAAACCCATTTTGTGAACAACCTTTATCCCAAAAACCCAATTATTGGGACCAAATATTCGAAAATATTTTTTTTTAATTTTTTTAAAAATATTTAAAATTTCTTGCTACTTCTTCTGGCAAAAATGTTGTAAAGTATACTAAAAGAAGTAATTTATAAAATACGCACACAAAACTGAACTTTAAGTTTGCTTATTTGCTGGAAAATAATATTCATCTTTTCACACTCAACACCAAATATTTTGCCGAAAAATCTGTAGGAAAAAATTGAATAGATAAAATAGAATTGTAGAAAAGTACAGAGAGTTTGATTTTTTATTTTGGATTAATTTTATTATTAAAAAACTTTTTTATATCAAAACATTGAGTAATCTGATTCATCCCTTCCACTTCTTCTCCTTTATTTCCTTGTTCTTCATTTTAATTTTTTGATTCATCACTGAAGAATTTCATCCCTTCAACTTCTTCTCCTTTATTTTCTTGTTCTTCATTTTCATTTTCTTCCTGATCGTAGTTAAAAATATGTTTTCTTCGCCAAAATGTTTCGGCTAGTATGGCATCTGGAGCTCGTTTTCCTCTTTATCTGGACTCAAATGGCATGGCAGTTTGATGATTGAGTGTCGATAACTGTCGACTGAAGTAGTCCAAATGGCGATGAGGGAAATTTTTAGCGACATATTGACTCCAATTTTGGAAAAAACATCCAACATTCGTCGCATCCTTCATAATTGGGAGAACGATGTTTGCCTAAAAGTCCAATGATGATTTCTCTCTGTCAATGTCTTCATACTTTACCAATTTCCGAATATCAGGACCATTTAAAACGCCTGAAATGAAATAAATATAAAAAATATATGAAATGAAGGGATGGAATTCTCCAGTGATGAATCAAAAAATGAAAATGAAGAACAAGAAAATAAAGGAGAAGAAGTGGAAGGGATGGAATTCTCCAGCAATGAATCAGATTACTCAATGTTTTGATATAAAAAAATCTTTAATAATAAAATTAATACAAAATAAAAAATCAAACTCTCTGTACTTTTCTACAATTCTATTGTATCTATTCAATTTTTTCCTACAGATTTTCCAAAGATTTCGGCAAAAAATTTGGTGTTGAGTATGAAAAGATGAATATTTTGGAAAATCTTGTTTAAAAATTGTTTTCCAGCAAATAAGTAAACTTCAGTTTTGTGTGCGTATTTTATAAATGACTTCTTTTAGTATACCTACTGTAATGGTTCCGAAAAGAAACACCCTGTATAGATTTATTAGAAAACATGTTATTATAATTTTATTTTTCGAATTTTAAAATAGGATTAAGCTATAAAACTTTATTTGAAGGCAAAGAAATTTTACAAAGTTAGGTAGAAAATTTGCCAAAAAACAAGAGAGGTACGCGCTAAGCTGAAGAAAGAGTACATCTGGCATGCAGATTGGGGGAGGAATTTCCTTAGAGGTAAACGAAAAAGTTTTTCGAAAAAGAGAGATGCGGCAGAAGCAGTTTGAATTCGATGCAGTACAGTTCGTTTTCTTTGGTAAAATTGTAAAAGTAAATTATTGTTCTAAAATCATTGTTAAAAGTGTTATTAGTGTATTCTACAAGGTTAGTTCTAATTATTTAATCTATTTAAATGTGTAGTAAAATTAACTAAACGTAATATTGTGCATTTTCAAATTGTTAAGCTTATTATTATATAATTATTGCTATTATGAGTATATTTACCCTTTTCTATTACGTTTAGCTGTATTTTACGTTATTTTTAATCCTTTTCTTTTAGCTATTACCACCCCTATTCTCGCTTTTATTATTATCACTATAATTTTAATGCTTTGCTATGTTCAATGCTTGTGCCGCTCCAATGTAACCTTGTATTTTGTTTGTGCTTAACCCATCATTTTGTACCTTTTTTCTATAACGTGGTTAAGCATTGTTTTATGATCAGTCCAAAGTTATTAATGTATTGCGAAATTACTCGGTGCTTAACCAGGAGTGCTGACCGTTATTGTTCCAACTTTGAGTACTCCTTGTTTGTGTGCGTGGGCCTTTGTTGTATGGACTAATATTTTTCTCCCGTGAGGGGACAAGGTTGCCCTAGGTTCTCTAGGGTTGCTTCGCTTTTCCCCGACCCTTCAACTAAACTAGGCGGGTTGCCTCCCATTGTGGACCCCGTTACATTCTGGGCCTAGCCCGGCTAACTAACCCCAATATTCTTCAGTTTTAAATCTTTGTTTAAATGCAGTATCGAGCCATATCGCCAATACATTAATGTGCGTAATTTTTAAAGTACAATGCCTGACCGCGTATTCCTTTGCTACTTCATAGCCGACCAGGGTTTTTTCTCAGGCTCTTTTTCCCTGGCCGAACCCTCCTAAGAGCCACCCCTTGCTTGTTTGTAAAAAGTTAACGTAAATTAAATTGGGGTAAATTAAGCCACTGTATTTTATTTCTTATAAACCTATTTCTCCCACGTATCATTCTTAAAGCAATGCATCTAATAAAACAAGTAAGTAAACACAGCGTAGAGGTCCAAATTTGGGTAAGACGATCACGAGCCAAAGCCACAAAATATTTAATTTATCAATTTTTCATAAAACTTGGTTTAAACGAACCTGGGGGTAAAGAGAAATCTTTACACTACTTTACAACATTTTTGCCAGAAGAAGTAGCAAGAAATTTTAAATATTATAAAAAAATTGGAAAAAAAATAATTTTTCGAATATTTGGTCCCAATAATTGGGTTTTGGGATATAGGTTGTTCATAAAATGGGTTTATTTGTTCAGTAACTACATTTCTACAAAAAATCTTGACGATATAAATCGAATATATGCGAAAAAAATCGATTAATAAGTCAAAATTGGGGTATATGAAGCTAGAAAATACAAACGGCCATAAAAAAATAAATCGAGCTAACTTTTACAAACCCAGCGAGGGTATATTTTCAGAAAGAAATAGTCCGGTGCGGTTTGATTTTTGGTGTTGCACAGTGTAATCAATCAAGCAGAATTCCGAGCTCAAGTGGCTTACCATTTATGTAATTTGCGATCGTCACAAAGTAAGCGTGGCAGAACAAGCAACTTGGAATTTGAAATTAATAAAAAAAGACAAAAAGGACCGCCTAAAGAAGTGCGCACAGATCAAACTGGTCACTGGCCTATTCCCCAAGATTCCAAAATGAGGTGCAAATACCCCAACTGCAAAGGTTTTACACGTACCAAGTGCGAAAAATGTTGAGTAGAGTTGTGTTTAAACAAAAACAATAACTGTTTTAAAAATTTTCATAATTAACTTATTTGGTCTTAATGCATGTTGTAGCCATTTGGCAACAAAGATTTTTTTCAAATAAAAAGCTTAAAAAACATTAGGGATTTTTTTTTACTATTTTTCCCAAGTCAATGTGTACTTTTTCCGAAATATTTTCGATATTTTATTAAAAAAAAGAATCATGCATTTAAGGGTTAGGAAAGTGCCGAGAAACAAAAATAAGAAAGGTTTATCAAAAAATGCTTTCGTGCTTCAATACTAGTGCTTGTTAAATTAAACACCAAAAATACACGTAAGAATGATCCATTTATTAAGGTATGTCTCATTGTAACTATGGATTTTACTGTAAAATTGTTACATCCTTTTTATTTATTTTGTTTTAGCAAGAGTTACAAGTTGTAATAACAATTGATAACAATCATACACACACACTAAATACTGCTGAGACACTTCGGTTTCTTAAAGGAAATGGTAAATAAAAACAAACATTTTTGGAATACTTTAATGAAAGGATGACTATTAGTAAAGCTATAAAGTTTCATGAAGGACTGCTTTAATATAAAAATTATGGAGGATTACTCCTAGCCAGTGGTGCCAATAATCCCACATATTTTTGATTGTGTGCAATAGTTATATCACATGTTATGCTGTAATATTATTATATTATAATGTATTATGTTTATCATGCATATCTATACATATTTATAGTAACTACTGTAGGCAGTGCTGCCAGACCTACCGTTTCAACGGTAGATCTACCGTTTTCTCCGATGAAATACCGCTCTACCGCTTAGCCACTGTATTCTACCGTCTTTTCCTTGTAATTTTTTGAAAATCGTACAGTTATAACTTCTAGTTCGAAACGTACACTAGTAAAATTATATCTTCCTAGATGGCGCGTTACTGTGGGCTGTGAGATTGGGACTTAACCGCTTTACAGATTGCACATTTCTCCTCTTTTAACCATAGATTAGGTTTTAACATTCATAAAATATAATTATAGCAGTACTGAAGCGTATGAAGTTTTTGTGTGTTCTTGATAGTTTTTATTTAGGACATAATTTAAAATGAGGTATGAATATTTTCAGTTTTATAAGCTATAACTTTACTACTGCTTATTTTAAGTCCAACACAGTGATTCCAGGTCTGGGGATTTTTCCCCAGTTCTGGAGAAATTCAAAAGTATTTGGGGACTGGGGAAAACTTTTTATAAATATCCTTAATCTGGAGATAATTAAAAATATATAATTATTTAATAATATAATTTTAATTACAAATTTTTAAACATTAAATATTATAATAGAGGTTACACAAAAGCCTCGCGCCAGCCGCCGGCGGCCAGCGTATAGTACGCTGCGTTTTTAGGTGATGAGCAAGTAAAATCTTCCTCTCAAAGATGGCACTATATTTTATTTAAAGAAATCTAAAACGCTGCCTACAATAGTTGTAAATTTCTTTAAATAAATGTCATCGTTGAGGATTCTCGAACAACGATGCCTTCTTTGGGATTGTATACAATTATGTGATTCCCTTATAGGTATATATCATAAAAAGAAATAGTGTGTTTCTTAAAAAGTGGGCAATAAAAAAGTATAAAAAGTAGTATCAGTAGTGTCACAGCAGGTTAAGACTTATCTATTAGTGCAGGTATAGTTTTGTACATAATTTTGTAATAATTATTAAAGATTAATGTTATTTAAGAGCATTAATAATTTCTTAGTTATGGAATCATCAAAATAACACGGATAATGAAAAAAATGCAAGTAGGGTCAGTTAACCAGTAATTCACCATCAACCAGTTATTGACCAATTTACCGATTAAATGATAAAAGCAAGGTCCCTGTATTACCTAATTAAAAACTTTTATTATTTGCATAGTGTTTTACCCCTTAACTTCTAGATGGCAGAGTTTTATTAATGATATCTGCTTACAAGGCTGCCTAACCTCACTAAATAGTTGGGTTATGTAAATTAACGGTAAAATACGTGCTGTTTGCAATAAGCATGGTAAGTACATTATTTTATTTAAATCCGCATCCATCCACTTAATAATTTCATAAAAAAATGTAAAATACATGTAAGAACTAAGAAGATATATTGACCTAAAGGTTTCCACTTGAATTTTAATGAAAAAAATGTTTTTTGATGTTAAATTCGAGTTGGTCATTTACTGGATAGAAAAAATTGACAATTTACCAGTAATTGACCATAATGGTCAATTATTGGTTTCACAATAAAATAGATATTTTCCATTTTTGTTACTCCTACTGCACAGGGTATTAAATATTTGATTGTTTTTCTCGTTAAAAATATAAAATGGTAGGCTCTATCCAGTAATTGACCACAAAAATTAGTGGTCAACCACTGGCTTTGCTTAGTGGTCAACTACTAGAAACCACACGTAAACTTTTTATGTTATCAATAAATAAATAGATAATAGTTTCATTTATTTTTCCGAGATCGGAATTTCACCAATACAAAATGTATAGTAGGAAAACTTAATTTTTTTCAGTAAGATGGCTACAAAAAAAAAGAAAATTTTCTTTAGATAATCTGAAAATGACCTGGCGCAGGCGATTAGCGATATCAGAAATAAAAATTCTTCCATACGTCAGGCGGAACGAACTTATAATGTTCCTCATTCAACTTTAATTAACAAATTAAAAGGAAAAACGCCTGAAATCCGGAAAATGGGTCCTGCGACAATACTGACGCAAGAAGAGGAAGAAGTACTAGTGCGTTGGATTAATGCTTTTGCAAATAAAGGGTTTCCTCTTAACAGATATCTTTTATGTGAAACTGTCAAAGATATCATCCATGCCGACGGTCGTAATAATCCATTTAAAGACGGTCTTCCTGGATACAAGTGGTTTAACGCATTCCTTAAACGTCATCCAGAAGTTAGTCGTCGTCACGCCGAATCTATAAATACAGCGCGAGCTAATGTTTCCGAGACTTCCATCAGGCATTGGCATGAAGAAATAAGTAGATACCTTGCTACTGAGAATGCAGAAGATATCCTTGAAGATCCTAAGAGAATCTTTAACTCTGATGAGTCCGGTTTTGCCACAAATCCCAAAAGTGGTCTGGTTCTAGGACCGAAAGGAATGAAAAATTTCTACGAAATCAAATCTGGTTCAGAAAAGGAATGTATAACAGTTCTTTTTACAATTTCGGCAGATGGGCAAATTTATCCTCCTATGATTGTTTATCCATATGAGAGAATACCAGCAGAAATAGTAAGAAATACAAATCCTGATTGGGTAATTGGTAGGTCAATGTTCTTATAAACACATTAAAATGATTAGGTATTTTTTATTTTGATTAAATTTTAATTTAAATGATTTTTTTAGGAAGATCAAAAAAGGGATGGATGTCAAGCCAAACTTTCCATAGTTACGTATGTAACACTTTTTTACCCTATTTGAAGGGAAAAGGTGTGAAGCTTCCTATACTTTACTTTCTCGATGGCCACAAGTCTCACTTGACCTATAATCTGAGCAAGTTTTGCGCAGAGAATGGAATTTTTCTTTTTGCACTATATCCAAATGCAACACATATTTTACAGCCGGCTGATGTTTCTCTATTTGCCCCGCTAAAAGCCAATTGGAGAACTATTGTACTAAACTGGAAAAGGTCAAATAATAACAAGCAGGTAAACAAAGCGACATTTCCTCTTCTTTTGGAAAACGCCACCCAGAAGGTTAATGCTGAAACTGTACAAAATGGTTTTCGTAAGTGTGGCCTGTATCCCTATAATGTAGAGGCTATAGATTTCAAAAAATGCATGAAGGACGCGTCTAGAATATTGGGGGAAAATACAGAAAATGACGAATCTAAAGTTAAGCCAGCTAAATTTGAAATTCCACATTTTCTTTATTTTGAATCAATAATCCCATTAACAAGAAGACAAGAATTTAAAAATACAGAAATGGGTGAATGGAACGGTGATGAATCGGCAAAAGAATTGTTCGAGATTTGGAGAAAATAGATGCAAAAACGCAAATGCAGAAGAAGAAATAAAAAATGCAGAAGAAGAAATAGAAAATGCAAATACAGAAGAAAATCATAAAGTTAGAGAAGAAGAAAATGATAATACAGATACTGAAGAAAATAATGCTATAGCTATTATAGGTACAGAAGAAGGAATTTATACTACAGGGACTGGAGAAAACGTTATTGCAAGTGTTCTAGGTACAGAAGGAGAATTTGATAATATAGAGACTGAAGAAAATAATGCTATAGCTATTATAGGTACAGAACAAGGAATGTATACTACAGGGACTGGAGAAAACGTTATAGCAAGTGTTTCAGGTAAAGAAGGAGGAATTAATAATACAGAGACTGAAATCAATAATCTACATACGACAGAAAACGAAGTAGAAATTACAAAGGCAGGTGAAGTTAAGAATGGTCCTGGCACAGAAGAAGAAAATTTTGAATCGATGATAGAAAAACTGTTAGAAACGACGAAGACTCCAGAAAAAACTACATCCAACTCTAACAAAAAATTCCAAATTAAAACAATTAGTAACTCCTTTTTGGATCACATTTTTTTGGCCAGAAGAGTCACCCGAAAAGAAAAACCATGTTACAAAAAAAGAAAGATTGCCTTACGCTAGTACATCAGAAAGGTGGCTGCAATATCATGAAAATAAAGAAAAACTTAAAATTCAAAAAGAAAAAGAAAAACAAGAAAGAGCTCTTATGAGGAAAAGAAAGAAAGATGAAAAGCAACAGAAAGTGATTAATAAGAAAATCCCGAAAAAAATAGTCAAACAGAAAAACAAAAAATCTAAACATGAATTTTCTGAAAGCGAGTCTGAAGAATGGTCAGAAAGTGGATCAAGTTTGGACGATGTGTCTGAAGAACATTTTACAAGCGATAGTGATAATGAGCCTTTAGTAAAGATTGCTAAACCAGAGAAAAAGATAAAGAAAGGAGATTTTTATTTGGTTAGTTTTCCAGGAAAAAAAAAGGCCCACAATTACGTTTGCACTATTCTGAATGTTCTAAATAAAAATGAAATGGAAGTTCAAGCACTGTGCCCCGTTGACGCGGAAAAATTAACATACAGATTTATAGATGGTGACATTAGTATTATAAGCAACAATCAACTCTTACATAAACTTGAGCAACCGAAACTTTCGGGTACCGAAAATCGTATTAAGCACAAATTTTCGTTACCTATATTAGGTTTATAAACATGTACAATAGCATAACATTATTCTTATAACTACCTGTCCGAGTTATACATATTTTTTGTAATACTTTTTTATGTAATAAAGTGTAAGTGTATTAATTTGTGGTTTTATTCCTTATTTCTACAACTGGTCAACTACTGGAAAAAAATACGGTCAAGCACTGGTTGCGGATTGGTCAACCACTGGAAAATCATGAATTTTCGTGCATTAAATTTTTTTTCGTCGGCATAGAAACTCTTTTTCTTTTTTAGTCATCTGTTATCAAATCTTAAAACAAAATTAAACTCAATGATATTTTTTATTTTATTTTAAACTAAAAATAGAGGAAAATATAATAATTTAATCACGAAAATTTCCTTAACTGGTCAATTACTGGTTAACTGACCCTACATCAAACAAAAACACAATAAAGCAAAAAAAGTCATATCAACATAAGTATAGATCTGAATGGGAGAAAATGGATGACTTCAAAAATTAGATACACCCTAGTAGAAAGGGAATAACTTTTTTTATTGCAATGTGTGTAAAGAAGATTATATTGGAGGAATCTCGGCTGTTAAAAAGCATGCTATGTCTCAGAAACATTTAAAAACTTGCAACAACAACCTAAGTTAAATAACATAACCAACATTTCTAGCTAGGTATGTTTATTGCAGAACATAATTTACCATTTAATTTAGCGGATAGTTTAGTAGATCTTATTAAAAACCTTTCTTTAAACCTAGATAAAAATGAAATAAAAAATATAACATGTAATCGGACAAAGTGCACTAAAATTGTTACTAATGTTATTGGTCAAAGGGACTTTGAAAATGTATTAGACAACATTAAACAAGCCATTTTCAATTTTATTAGATGAATCTACTGACATTGCCTGTAAAAAAACTTGGCCCTTGTTGTAAGGTACATTTATAATAATACCATAACAGATCAGTTTTTAAAATTATTGGTGGTTGAAGATGGCACAGCTTATGGTCTGTACAGTACACTGGTAGATTTTTTTAAAAAGAATAATGTACCATATAAAGATCATTTATTGGGTTTTGCAGCTGATGGCTGTAACACTTGTAACGGGTTATTTGGTTTAAGGTAGCAAATAAAACAATAATAGAATTTTAAATAATTTATTGAGGCTGTGGTTAGGCAACCAAGCGGTCACATTTCTTTGTTTGTGTTGCGAACGGTTTGCCTTAAACAATTAGGCTTTGTAAACGAGACTCTATGCGTTGTGGGTGGGTGTAAACACGACTTACTTATTTATTATTATCAATTAGTTACTTATTATTGATAATTACACAAAATAATAAAAGTAAATTGCATTGAGAACATCTGTTGGGCTGTAAAAATGCAGGAAAACGTTATAAAAAATGTATACCTTAATAATTAATTAGTATAATCAACTTTCAACATTTAAGTTTTTTGTAAATATTGCTTGGCCAATCAGACTTTGGTTGGATAATTTTGACAGCCAACTTCCGTAAACGGAGACCATTTTTAATTTTGGTTTCGAAGCTTCTGGAAGCGTTTTAAGGGAAAACCTAAAAGAACGCATAATAATCAGTAATAGAAAATCAACAATATAATCAAATTTACCTCAGTAAGGCCACCTGACATCCAAGGTAAACAATATTTTCAGTATTTTGACTGGTTTTCCTGTATTTTAGAAAACATGCTAAACAGTGTTTCTCTTTTCAGGCCATTATGTCTCGATTTTTTCATTTACGTCCTTTTGTTCTTATGCTCGATGGTTGTTTTACGTCCTTTTAAAGTAATCGGAGTTATTTGAGCTATCTAAGCATTAAATGGTTAGTATAAATACCATACACGCTGTCGAAAAGATACCAGAACGATTCAATCGCTGTCTACCTGAAGTAAAGTTTATTAGTACAAGATTTTCAAGAAATACTTACCCAACAACGCATTGTTGTCGTGTCCGGAGAATTATTGAAGTAATTTGCTGCTACCGTGGTGACTTTGTTTGGCTCGATAACAGATGAGGCATTGATGAATCTGAATCATTAGTAGTCAACTATGAATAGGAGTTTGTTTGGTAAATTAGCTTATTCACCGATCTTTGTAAACTGAACACATGTGTAAGGTAATTATTAACTTTGTTTTAATTGTATTATATGATATAATTTGGTTCATGTTGACATATAGAACAATCGTGCCTACCACTCAATGTTTCATCTAAACACGTAATAAAACGAAACACCCTATTTTTTACTAATTGTAATTTGAGTATTTTTGTTAAAATAAACATTCCATTTTCCTCCTCCTTCTTCTTGTCAAAAGTTTGCTTTTGGCTGGCGCCCACAAATAAAACCAATAATTAACATCTGAACCCTCATCCGCTCCCAAATAAAAGAGTTGCCGTGCATGTGTGCGAAAAGTAAGTATTAAATTAATTATATTTAAACTGAACTACACCATACACTATGATGGGAGAGCATCATTCTCTACAAAGCTTACTGAAACAAGATATTCCTGATTTATTTGTAATTAAATGTGTACCGTAAAACGTGGTGGCTTTAGGACAGCCGGGTAACTTTGTGACGCAATGTATTTAGCGCGAAAAATTGAACATAGTTAATATATTTGACGCACGAGCGCTACCTGCCCTGTTGTCATGCATTTTCAAGGTTTCTAACCGGTTATCAGTCGTACAGTGGCTATTGTTCTAGAAGCAGGTGTGCCTCGTGAGCGGTTTTTGTTAACGATACGTTTTTCTTAAATTTAAGTTTCTTGTAATACTTTCTCTTGTACGGAATACACTTTAATAGAGAGACAAAATTTGGTATTAAGATAGTGCAATCTGGTATATAAGATAAGTGTTTGTGTATTTAAAATCCTAAGATTATATTAATCAAACCAGTACGTCATATTAAGTGAAATCGCAACAAAAAGCGGGATGACTTTGGGACACAATAATTTAAAATCAACAAAACAAGGGGTAAGTTTGTGACATTCATTTTTTGTTTTAGTGATGCCACGAAAATATATTAGGAAGCCTGGAACACGTGCATATAAAAATTACACCCCCGAGACGCTTCAGGAAGCACTTCGTAAAATAAGAGGGAAAAAAATAAGCATACGAGATGCTGCGGAAAGGTAAAAAATTGCCAATAAGCATAAATTATTTTATTTTTAATATTTGCAGATACGGAATTCACCGCAATACATTATTTTTAAAGCTGCATGGAAAACATAGCCTTCCCGCTGGTGGGCAAACGGCTTTAAACAACGAAGAAGAAGAGTCAATTATTGCTCACATAATTGCTGTATCCACGTTTGGCTTTCCTGTTACAGCACATGACCTTCGTTTTATTGTAAAGACTTATCTAGACAAGAGAGGAAAAAAATTGAAATGTTTCAAAGATAATTTCCCTGGAAAAGAATGGGTAGTGTCTTTTCTTAATAGACATAAAAATGTTCTGGCTAATCGAATTGCTCGAAACACAAGTATTGCGAGGGCTGCAGTGGATCACGAAGTTATAAACAACTTCTTTAATAATCTGTTCCTTCTTCTAATTTATGGAACTATGACGAAACAAATCTGGGCGATGATCCTGGTGCTACGAAAGTGCTTATAAAACGAGGCACAAAGTATCCGGAGCAAATTCGAAATGCCACCAAGGCATGTACTTCAAGGTGGCAGGAAATGCAGAAGGAGCGATTGCTCCAGTGTACGTCGTTTATAAGTCTGAGAAGCTGTGGCAAACCTGGACGGAAAATGGACCTGAGCATGCGCGGTATAACAGAACACAATCCGGCTGGTTCGACTATCAATGTTTTGAAGACTGGTTCACTAATCTCATGTTACCTATTCTTTAAAAACAGGAAGGAAAAAAGGTACTTATTGGCGACAATTTAAGTTCGCATCTGAATATTGAGGTCATACGTCAATGTGAGGCAAACAACATTTCTTTCATAGCATTACCCCCCAATGCAACTCATTTAGTCCAACCGTTGGACGTGGCATTTTTTAGGCCCATGAAGGGTAACTGGAGACGAATTTTGCACGAATGGAAGGTCACGGTATTTGGTAGTAGATGTGGAACAATCCCCAAAGACCAATTTCCTAATTTATTAAAAAAATTAATGAATATCATGCACGATAGAGCTGTTGAGGTTCTTCCCGCTGGTTTTATAAAAAGTGGCATACACCCCTTAAACCGTGTAGAAGTTCTAAGTCGTATGCCAGAAGAAATTATGCACAACTAGGGTGCAGGCATAAAAAATGCCTTGGGCGAAAGTTTTCTAGAGCAATTACAAAGAAAACGAGACACAACAACTGCGCTACGCCAACGTCAAAAGCGCAAAAGAGTTCATGTAGCTCCCGGTAAAAGTACTGGGTGGCGCAAAATGAACGTAGGGGTTTGAATTTCCTATAAGTTTTTTATTTTATTTAATTTTTTAAATTTTATTTCAGTATTTTGTAAAGAACACTTGGGAAATTTAAAATGGAACAGTACACAATCGAACAACGAGCCCAAATCATTGAACTTTATTTTTCAAATCAACGGTCCATTGTTTTGACTCAGCGTGCTTATCGTCGATATTTTAATGTGCGAAATGGACCCTCAGAGCCAACAATAAACCGTATAGTTGCAAATTTTCGACAACAAGGGACATTAAGGAACCTTCCTGGTGCCGGAAGACGACGTACGGTGCACACGGATGATAATATTGAACGTGTACGGGAGAGTATTGAGGAAAATGCAGAAACATCAACAAGGAGACGTTCGACACAACTTGGGCTATCACGAAGGTCACTGCAGAGAATTTTGAGTACATTAAGCATGTTCCCATATAAAATACAGCTTGTGCAAGAATTAAAGCCGACAGACTACCAGCAACGGCTTAATTATGCAATTTATTTCCGCCAAAAAGCAGAAGAAAACCCTGATTTTATTCATAATTTAATAATGAGCGATGAAGCCCATTTCCAATTAAATGGGTTCGTTAACAAGCAAAACTGCAGAATATGGGCTACGGAAAATCCGAGAACAGTTCATCAGCGACAATTACACCCACTTAAGTGCACTGTTTGGTGCGGTATATCATCCGAAAGAATTATTGGCCCATATTTTTTTGAAAACGAAGACGGTGTCGCAGTTTCCATCAATGGTGGTCAATATCGGACGATGTTGGAAAATTTTTTGAGGCCAGCTGTGGAAAACCATCCACAATTATGGTTCCAACAGGATGGAGCCACAGCGCATACTGCGAGGGACACAATGGCTCTTTTACGGGACATCTTTGGCGAACGCATTATTTCGCGCAGAAGCGATTTCAATTGGCCTCCGCGTTCACTGGATTTAACGGCTCCTGACTGTTTTCTTTGGGGATATTTGAAACAAAGAGTGTACGTTAATAAGCCTAGAACCATCCCGCAATTAAAAAACAATATTCGGCATGAAATCGAGGCCATAACACCTGAAATTTTGCGAAAGGTTATGGAAAATGTTTTGGAAAGAGCACGAATATGCGAAGCAGAAAATGGTCACCACTTGCGCGATATAATTTTCCATAATTAAACCAAAAATATTCCCCATTATTATACTGCAACAACTGCGCTACGCCAACGTCAAAAGCGCAAACGAGTTAATGTAGCTCCCGATAAAAGTATAAGTGCAGCCGACCTTGCTACTGATGTCTTCACAACAAAATCACAAACAATACGGCGCAAACGGAAAGAGCCAGCTGAAAAAGTAGCTCCAAATGATGAAGTCCAGAGTATGCCATTGACGTCGATAGTATCTGAAGAACCATCAACATCAACAGAATCAGAAAAACCTTTAACGCAAATGCCATCCAAAAAATCCAACAAAAAGCCTCGCTTAAGGCGCCGTAAAAGTGATTCGGAATCAAGCGAATGTTCTGTTGCGATCTCATATAGAAAAAGTGGCTCGTCTCCCATGTCGGAGTTTGATGTTACGTCTGAAGGTGAGATACCAGAAACTAGTTCAGCGGTTGATGTTGACATAAAAGCAAAGTCTGGAGATTATGTTATTGTACGATATGAAGGAAATTTTTTTCCTGGCGTCATCACTAGCTTTAAAGAAAATGAAGTTTGTGTAAGTGCAATGGAAAAATGTGGTATCAATTGGAAGTGGCCTGACCGAAAGGATGAACTTTTTTATGAGATTTCCGAAACAATTAAAATTAATAAACCAATGCAAATCTCGTCTCGTAGAGAGATATTTCGCGTTCCAGAACTGGACATTTATATTTAATGTTAACTTTTCCATCTTTCAATATTTTGCAGTTTTTCGAAATGTTTTTAATTAGTTAGTTTGTGTTTAGTTTTGGCTAAGTTGAGTTAAATAAAGCATTTTTGCTCGATTAATGGGTTTATTTGGGGACACTTTGTGACATACATTTTTGTATGTTTACAATTTAGGTGGTGAATTTGTGACAAACCCAATACGAGAATATATTTGTAGACCATTATTTGTCACAAACTAACCCGCCCAAAAGCTGACTTTGTGTATACATGTAAAATGATAGGTGTTACAAAGTCACCCCCTTAAGTGGGGTCAAATTGTGACAAATATTTTTGTGAATAACTTTTTTCTGGTAATTTTCTGGTCTATCAAAATGGCTCAGATTAGTATCTAAATGATGAAACTTTATTTATAATGTTGGCAATATTTTATTTTTATGAAAAAAAAAATTTTAATCCACAAAAACTGATAAATCTGTCACAAAGCCACCTCGTTTTACGGTATGTCATTCCGTTGCACTAGTTGCTTCTTATGCATGCAAAAAACTGCCTGACACCATTGAATATTTAATTAGTGACCTGTATTCATATTTACAGAGCTCAAAAAGACTAAAACAATATGAACAATTTCAACAATTCTTAAATATTAAACCACATAAAATTTTGCAATTAAGCCAAACTCGTTGGTTATCACTAAATAATGTCATCAATCGAGTTCTAGAGCAGTTTAATGCATTAAAATTATTTTTCCAATCTCAGTGGTTGGAAGAACATGACAAGAAAGCTGAAGAAATTTTAGGTTTTTTGAATAATCCTGTAAGTAAATTATATTCACAGTTTTTGCAATATGTTTTACCTTTAATTGTAAACCTAAATCTAGAATTTCAAAGCGAGCAACCAAAAATGTATACACTCTATGAAAAAATGGCAACAGTTTACAAGACCTTTTTAGAATTCTATTTAAAACTAGAATACATTAAAAGCTCACCATTAGAAAACATTCAGTATAGAAATCCCGAGCATTTTATGGATATTGATAGTATTTAGGGGCAGAAGTTATGGTTGTTTTGTCAACAATTCTAATAATTCTCTGAGATTCAAACATTCAAATTAAAATGTCTTGATTTTTATATTGAGTGTTGCCACCAAATATACAAAAGATTTCCTTTTAATAAAAATCAAATGCAGAGCTTAAAACTGTTGTCATTTTTAGATCCAAAAAATATTCCAAAAATACAAAGCACAGCAATGCGGCTTCACGATTTAAGAAATTTACGAATAATTTAAATTTACACAATTTGGATAGGGAATATAGAATGCTAAGGAATACAGAAAGCTTAAATTTTGAAGAAGACTTTAAACCGTTTTGGATTAAGGTATTTTCTTTAAAAAATAATGATAACACTGAAGGTTTTCCAACTTTATCAATTTTTGTAAAAAATATTTTATGTCTCCCTCACAGTAGTGCTGCGGTGGAGCGTATTTTTAGCGCTATTAATTTAAATAAAACGAAAACAGATTATGTAATAACACTCTAGAAGGCATTCTGCATTCTAAAAACATTTTAAAGGTTCAAAATAAAACGTCTATTAATTTTGATATTGATATTGAAATCGTGAGAAAACATAATAATACCATGTATAAATAATAGTTTTTTTTGTATCTATAGGTAATAATATTTTTTGTATAGATAAAAAGTATACTAATAAAGTATTTATTTTAACAAATTAGTTTTCATTTTAAAAATCTGGGGATATCTGTTAAAAATCTGGCAACTTTTTAAATAAATTATGGGGAAAATAAATTTAAGGACCTGGCAACACTGGTCCAACATCTAGTTCAGACGAAGCAACTGACAGAGAAAGTACAAGTACGACTCGCCTGCTCAAAAGAAAAAAGTACGATCAAAAATACAACGTTAATTGGGAAAGGGATGCAGAACTTCGCGATTGGCTAGCTCCAAATCCTAAAAATGTTTTCGAAGCAAATTGTAAAGTATGTGATAAATATATAAATATAAAGTCAGGAAAACTGCAATTAAAGAGACACCTGGCTAGAGACGGTCATAAAAAACTGTCTGCATCTCAGATAAAAGAAATTAAACTATACTATAATTAGCAATACTTTAAATATTGCTAATAAAAGGCAGATATAATGTTAGGAGCTTTTGTAGCGGAACATAATTTGCCGTTTACTGTTACTGAACATTTGCCACAATTGATTAGTAGAATTTCTAAACTCCATCCTGATATAGCTGATAATATCAAATGCAAAAGAACAAAAACTGCTGCAATAAAAAATGTGATTAGAATTGTATGTGTTTTATTTCTTGCAATTTATTAAGCTATTCTTTTCGAATTCTGATAAAAATTTGAATTTTGAACAATCTACCGCCTTCTACCGTTTTTTAGTGGTACCATTTACCGCTTCAGGAAAAAACCATCTGGCAGCACTGACTGTATGTACTATTATTAAATAATTTTTTTTTGCAGAAATATGCAAGACATTTTTTAATTTAAAGAATTCAGGTAACTAATCTATTTTATTATTTTTGTTTTGTCTTTTTAACGTTATAATCGTTATAATTTTAAGATAATTTTTGGGTTTCAAATAATTGTTTAACTTGTTATGATTTTAAGATAATTTTTTGTTTTGAAATAATTTGTTTCTACGAATAATACCTTTTTTACTAGCTTTCGAGAAAATTTAATTCCTTGGCTAATAAGATGTAAAATAAATATACAGGGTGCAAAAATGTAAAAACAAGAATATTTTATAAAAGGTTAATTTTATATAAAATCAACCAAAGGTGTTGTCACCATGGTTGATGCATCTTTAAGAATCTTGGTATAGTTGCTCTATCCCGTTAAAATACATAAAAACCCCAAAATTTTTATTTTTTTAAACTAAACAAAAAAAATTAAGATCTTGGGGGTTTTTAGTTTTTTAATGGGTACCAAAATCGGAGATGGTGACTTCAACACCTTTGATTGATTTGATATGAAATAAATCAAAACAAAGAATTTAAAAAATTTTATTTATGAAATTATAATGTGTGGTGATGGCTTTTACTTTTGATACAAGAAGATAAAAATTCTATAGATTAATGTTTATATATTTTAGAAACTGAAGGAAAAGCAGGTGGTGTTTGAACAAAAAGACACTTGCGTCTATGGACTCAACCAGCATCAATCCCGAACAGAAAAGAGGCGTGGCTGTCGTATGCAACCCAGATAACTGATAAATGTAAAGCGTATTAGTTTACTTCAACAAGTATTGGGTTAAAATAAAATTTATGTTAACAGGTGGTTGAAACCAGGTTGATAGTGTGAATATTATCTTTTTATTGTTATTAAAAATGGAATATAAGTGCAAGGAATGTGAAAGTAATTTCAGCACACCCTCAAATTTTAAACGACATGTAATGAAATTTCATCCTAAAGATTTGTTGGATTTGGCGCCTTTAATTTATAGAAAAAATACTTCATCTTCGACGTTTTGTTGTGATGTTTGCAAAAAAAATTTTTTGCATGTACAAAGTTTGCGCCGGCATTTAAAAACGCATAATATTTTAAATACAACACACAAGTAATTTAACTCCTGATGAAAGTAACCTAAACATTGGAAAAAATTCAAAAAAATGTCCACTTTGTGAATATTATGGTGTGCATAGGCAAGACCTGCTCAACCATTTTAAAAATATTCATGAAATTTCGTTTTTGCTTCTATGGAAAAGTAAGTTGTAATTATCTACTACGTATTAACATATCTTTTATAGAATTTTTTTTTTCAGCGACTATTGAAAAAGAAACAAATTCTAGATTTGTAAAAAAAAGAAGTGTCATTTAAAAACCATGTAACAAGTAATTATGTGTGTCATCGTTCTGGCAACTATGTGCAGAGGGGAAAAGGTGATACGAATATTAAGACCCAAGGAAGCAATAAAATTAACGCCTTTTGCCCTGCAAATATACAGACACAAATAAAAAAACAAGAGATTTTAGTACAGTATCTGGAGAGTCATGTTGGGCATGTAAATGACATTGACCATTTACAGCTCACTGCATCAGAGAGGCAAGATTTAGCAATAAAAATAGCTGCAAAAATTCCGTTTGATGATATTTTAGATCAGGTTCGTGAATCTATTACTGATGTTACATTAAACGGAATCCATCTTGTGCCAAAGAAAGATCTTTTTAATATTGAGAGCAGCGTTAACTTGTGCAGCTCTTCTGTTCGTTACTCTAATGACGCAATCAGTGTAGAGGGTTTTAGAAATGTAGAGAGTTGGAAACTGTACTGTTTTTTATAAACCCCAAGGAATAGTTTTGGAAGAACAACCTGAATTAAAAGAAGAAGACTTTGTACTTATTATAATGACACCTGCACAATGTGAATTTCTAAAAAAATTTGGCTCCATTTGTATTGATGGTACACATGGCCTTAATAATTATAATTTTGAACTCCACACTGTACTTGTTTTTGATGATATAAGGGAAGGATTTCCATGTGCCTTTTTGTTATCAAACAGATCTGACACATATATTTTCAATTTATTTTTTAATGAATTAAAAGTTAAAGATGGATTAATTTCACCAGATATTTTAATGTCAGATCTAGCTGTGACATATTTTAAGGCATGGGTAGAAGTTATGGGTAATCCTGGAAAAAGGTACTTAATTAATAATTTAATTTTTTAACTATACATAGTCATTTTAAATATACACAGGACATGTCTGAAAATAACATTTCTTTTCAGGCTCTTCTGTACTTGGCACATTGACCGAGCCTGGCGACAAAATTTGCCAAAAATTAAGAGTAGGGAAAAACAAAAATTTTGTTTATTTGTTACAAGGATATTATATATATATATATATATATATATATATATATATATATATATATATATATATATGTGCCTTAGTAGTGTGAAACTGAATAATTGTGTTGTGTTTGAAAAAAGATTCTTTAAGAAACCACCAAAACTTCTAAAAGAAAGAAACAAAATGCCAAGTTGTTTTCAATACTATGTTCTTATAATATAGAAGCAAAATCTGCTATATTTTAGCATTTTAAAACAAAATGTTGTATTTATAGTTCTATAACTATAACTTCTATAGGTATTTCAAAGCTCATTCTTCAAAGACTAGATCTTTTTACAGCATTTTGATTTCTGGCAATCCAAACATTAGTTGCACATTATTAATAAATAAATGCAAACTAATTAAAATGTAATCAAACAAATTCACCAATAAAAGACAAAATATACGATTTTTATTTTTTTATAAAATATATAGAGTAGGCTGTGAACTTAATTGTCGTATATAATACCACTAGTGGTAAAATTTGACCGATAAAATTTTTGATTTTTATACGAATGTTTTTTCTTGGAAAATTCGCAAGTGGCATTACTTTTTAAGACCACGAGCCGCTAGGCGAGTGGTTTTAATTTAATGCCACGAGCGAAATTTCCAAGGAAAAATCTTGAGTAAATAAAAAACAAAAATTTTTTCAGGGAAAATTTTATCACGAGTGGTATTCGGCAAGACTATTTCACGATTATTTTTAACTGCTGAAACGCATGTTTATTAACATTTTGTTGTGTATGGGTGGTATGCACTTTAGTTTTATCAGTTAAACTACTTATTTTGGAAAATATCACATTTAATTTGGTTCACACTTTTACATCGATTTTGTTACATAGGTACATGTTATCGCTACTGTGGTTCAAAGACAAGTGGTCGAATTCCTTCCATACCTATACGCATGTATTAATTTTAAAATTAAAAACAATTATTTTTAGTATAGCAACCAATTGGTTGCTATGCAACTCGTATAAACGAGTGCTTTTTTCGCTGCAAAACTGAAAAAACCACTCGAAATCTGATTGGTCCAAGTAATGAGTGGAATAGTCAAATAAATTTAGTTTCTAAAAATGGCTCGTTCAGGTAGGACCACGAAAAAGCAATTTGAAGAACTTTTACATTTTGCCCAGGAACATAAAAATATACTAAACTCAAAATTGAAGCCCACAGAAGTGGTGAAATTACGGATTTACAATGTTCATGTTTAAGGTATTCTCAGAATGGAAATCAAAAGTGCGGCGCAAGGCAAGAATTATTGAGCAATCGAGAATCCAAACTGGAGGAGGGCCAGCAGACTCAACGGAATTAAATGCCGTTGAGGAGCAATTGCTGGCCCTCACTTCTAAAATTTATTTGGGGGATACTGAGGTAGAAGAGGCTGGTGTCTCAGCCTCACGACCAGGTTAGATTGCTATGGTACACATAAAACAAATTTAGGAGTTGCAAAAACTTTTTTCTTATTTAAATATTAATAGTAGGAATTAAATGCCGTTGAGGAGCAATTGCTGGCCCTCACTTCTAAAATTTATTTGGGGGATACTGAGGTAGAAGAGGCTGGTGTCTCAGCCTCACGACCAGGTTAGATTGCTATGGTACACATAAAACAAATTTAGAAGTTGCAAAAACTTTTTTCTTTTTTAAATATTAATAGTAGGTATTTTATTTATATTTTAATGTGTTCTTGCCATAACAATTATACAAGTTTTGCAAAAAAAATGTTTGTAACTTTATTATATATATATATATACAGGGTGGCCGATTTATCTGAAGACATTGAAATATTTCGAAAACTATGCATCGGATCAAAAAAAGTTTTGAATAAAATTTGTTCGCCTGGAAGGGGGACATCCAATGATACCAAAGTCGACCCCTCACCACCACCCCATGGGGTGGGGGTGGGGGCAACTTTAATATTCTAAATAGGAACCCCCATTTTTTATTGCAGATTCGGATTTACTATTAAAAAATAAGTAACTTTTATGGAAAAACTTTTTTTTAAATTCCTGATAGATGGCGCTGTAATCGCGATTTTTGGGAATATCTTGAAAAATTGCAGATTCGGATTTCCCATTAAAAAATATAATTAGTGTATACGAGAATTGTAAGGGAATTCAAAATAAATTAAATTAATTAATTCCTTTTGATGTTCCCATGTTCCCATGGCCATGGGGTGGGGGTGGGGGCAACTTTAATATTCTAAATAGGAACCCCCATTTTTTATTGCAGATTCGGATTTAATATTAAAAAATAAGTAACTTTTATGGAAAAACTTTTTTTAAATTCCTGATAGATGGCGCTGTAATCGCAATTTTTGGGAATATCTTGAAAAATTGCAGATTCGGATTTCCCATTCTTGGGTAATTTTAAAAATAGATGTTAACTTATTGATATACGAATAAAATCCAAAAATTAAACAAGTTTTTCTTTTTTTCGATCCGATGTGTAATTTTTTAAGATATTCCCAAAAATCGGGTTTCTTGCGATTACAGCGCCATCTATCAGGAATTTAAAAAAAGTTTTTCCATAAAAGTTACTTATTTTTTAATAGTAAATCCGAATCTGCAATAAAAAATGGGGGTTCCTATTTAGAATATTAAAGTTGCCCCCACCCCCACCCCATGGGGTGGTGGTGAGGGGTCGACTTTGGTATCATTGGATGTCCCCCTTCCAAGCGAACAAATTTTATTCAAAACTTTTTTTGATCCGATGCGTAGTTTTCGAAATATTTCAATGTCTTCAGATAAATCGGCCACCCTGTATATATATATATATATATATATATATATATATGTATATAGGCTCAGCATATATATTATATTAGCAGTGGCGTGCCCAGAAATTTTGTCTAGGGGGTTAAGCCTATGGAAGGGGAGGAGAAAAGAAGGGGGAGAGAAAAATCTAAGATTGGTTATGAAAAATATATTTTTTTAATTATTTGTTTAAAAATTCTGAGTCTTGGAGGGGAGTTGAACCCCCCATGGCCCATGGGCACGCCACTGTATATTAGTGTAACTGAGAATACTGATAAATTTAATAGGTTGTTTTTTTCAATAGCGACTAAAGATCTAATAAGCAAGCTGTTTCCCCCAAAAAACACTACACCCGCCCCAGAACTTGCCCTCCTAGAAACAGAAGCAGAAGGTAAATGTGCCATTTTTGGATGAACTAAATATTAATTAGCATAATATGCTAATTATCATATACTTATAATATAATATAAGTATAATCTTTTTTAATTTCAATTCTTTTTTTAGAAGCAGTTCCTATGGCGGAAGTCCGAAGAGGTAGGTAATAAAATAAAAAAATACTGTTTAAAAAAATTCAGTTCAAAATCCATTATCTCTGGATGTACTGAATCCATATGGAAGCAATTGTAGAAAAAACAATAATTAATAATAATATAATATAATTATATATTATATGGACTAAATATTAATTAGCATAAGTATACTCTTTTTTAATTCCAAATATTTTTTTAGAAGCAGTTCCCAAACAACTACAGTGGCCTCTGCTATAAATAACTTCTAACAAACCTACAAAAAAATTAAATTGGAGGAACTAAAAGTGAAAGAAAAAAGACTTAAACTAGATTATTTTTTAAAGTTTGGTACTATGGATGGATTTGATGATCTATTTAACTAGTAACATAGTATTAGATTAGTTAGGTTTAGGTTTAGGCAAGTTAGTATTAGTTTAAGTATATATAGTTTAGTAAGTTCGTTTTTCACTAATTGTAACATAGTATTAGATTAGTTGTAGTATAGTAGTTAAATAGGTCATCAAATTCATATTAGTTAGGTTTAGGTTTAGGCAAGTTAGTATTAGTGTAAGTATATATAGTTTAGTAAGTTCGTAGATATGCAGGGTGTTCTGGTAGGTCTTTTTAAAACCAACGTTTTTCACTATTATAGTGCATAAAAGTCCGCACAGTGATTGCCACCGTTTTATCGCATGACAGAAAATTATTTAGTATTTTTCAGAGCGGATTTTCTAAAAAAACTGATTAGTTTTTAGAGGGCGCTGTATGCAAAACATTGTATATGTTTAAAGTAAAATAAAGTTTTTCCTTTGCCTATTTTTTAAAATTGTTAATTCAGGTACTATTGCGGCCGATAAAAAGTAATCGATTCTTTATCAAGTTGCATGTTTTTCCTAAAAATTGGCTATTGTAAGTAGGGTTTTTTACGTCAGTCATGTCAATTAAATTATTTTGACAAGAAATCATAGGTGTATGACATATTTAATTTTTTAATAAAAAAACTTAAATTATATAAAGCATGTTTATTCGTAATACAAAGAAAAAGAACAAATTATTTATTGGGCGACCAAAATAAATAAATTTAAACTTAAAAAGAAATAGTATTGTTGGGTTTTCTTCAACACTATATTAATTTAATATTAATTTTTTTTAGTTTAATTTTATTAAATGTATATTTAGATTTATGTGCAATGTGGGTTGCCTTAATTCAATGGTTAATTTGTTTAATTATGATTTTTCGCGATAATTACGCCCCTGGTGGCAATAACGCCTCATACAGACAATTGCGTACACACACACGTGCAAGAGTCTCCGAATAACGCGCATACTATTAATTCGACGCTTCTCGACCGGCAAGAAAATTGTGTGGTGGTGCTCCTTATTTCAAAGGCAATTTATGAAGAACCAGAACTACAGTCCACTCCGTCAGAAAATAAGCAAGGTAAGTCACTAGGGGTTGTCTCGTTTATTTTTTTTTAATCTTTTACGCAACATTTTTTGGCCCTTCTTCGCCAAATTGTTTTGTAAATTGCTGTTGAATTAAGGCAGATAAACCCATAATTGATTATTGATTATTGATATATTATAATAATTTTGCATTTATAATTAACGTATAAAATTTAATTTAAAACGAAAGTTTTAAAACGTTTTTACGCTTCGTTTTTGTTACCCATAGTTTTTGCCGGTATTTCGCTCTTTTTCGTGCACGCGCTCTCTCTTTGTTTACTACAATTGTTTAATTTCTCACTTTTGCGCTATTTCTCACCTTGTCTCACTTTGTTGTCAATTTAATAACAATTTTCTTAAAATTAATACTGTTCACTTATATTTGGAAATCTACCGTTTTCAAATTGTTAAATTTTATTATTCTATCATACATCTATACAGGGTGTTTATTTTCGTCGCTTTAAATAATTTAAATATTTTTTAAATTTGCTATTCTAAATACACCTATACAGGGTGTTTATTTTCGTCGCTTTAAATAATTTAAATATTTTTTAAATTTGCTATTCTAAATACACCTATACAGGGTGTTTACTTTCGTCGCTTTAAATAATTTAAATATTTTTTAAATTTGCTATTCTAAATACATCTATACAGGGTGTTTACTTTTCGTCGCTTTAAATAATTGAAATATTTTTTGAATTTGTTATTCTAAATATAAGTGCATAGGTAGGTATATATAAAAATGACTACCAACGCAAACAAGGTAAAACAATACAATGCTCTTAGAGCAATTAATATATGTGAACTCGCTGAATTAAAAACGATCGCTGAAAGCGCCGAGACAGATGAAGATAATTTTGTTAACTTCCGCATTTCTTATCAACGTCTCGCAGAAATTTATAATGAATTTAAGAAAAATCATGCTGCTTTGATTACTCTTTTGGCGACAATAGAAGATTCTAATTTGGATGCTGAAGAATTAGTTCGTGCTCAGTTTGAACAAGATTATCTTGTGATTAGAACAATTCATTTTAAACTCTGTGAAACAGACTCACAAACTAAACCTTTAACTTTGGTAAAATCCCAAGATAATTCACAACGCAATATTCGCTTAAATAAAATAACTTTACCTAAATTTACTGGTGATTTTACTAAATTTAAAACGTTTATTGACACTTTCAATTCTCTCGTTCACAACAACTCGGCTCTTTCAGATATTGAAAAGTTTCATCACTTATATGATTCCCTAACTGGTCCTCCTTTAACCGTTGTACAATGTGTTCCCCTAACCGCAGACAATTACGCAGTTGCATATAATTCTTTAATGAAAAGATACCACAACAAACGTTTAATGGCTACAGCTTATCTTCGAAAAATTGATGATACAGTTTCATTGAACGAAACGACAGCTAATACTCAATCTTTAAGAAATTTAGTTGATACTTTTGAGGAAAATCTAGCTGCATTAGATAATCTCGATTTCCCAGTTGCTGAATGGGATTTCTTACTTTTTTACATGCTTAAAAAAAGGTTAGATAAAAACACTATAACCCAATTTGAACTAAACTTAAATTGTAATAATGAAACTGTCCCAAATTTTGAAGAGTTAAAAACTTTTATTGCTAAGCAGTGCAACGCTTTAGATAATATTGATTCACAAATTAAAACTAAACCTAACTCATTTAATAAAAACAAATTTATT